ATAGTTGCAAGAGCTACACCAACTGTTGTGATAAATAGGGATATGATGATTGTTGGGATTTATGGACCAAGTTTGGTTCTTGCTTTGAAAAGAAGTAGTGGAGATCTCATTTGGAGTACACAATTGGATGATCATCCTGCTAGTGTTGTTACCATGTCTGGAACATACTACAAGGGGTAAGTTGACTTATTCTTTTTTTGGCTTATGCAATATTGATCCTGACTAATCTGAAATCGCGTCATGTAAGGCTCATTAAAAAAACGGAAAAGGGCCAAATATATTCATGTACTATCAGAAAAGATTTAAATGTACCCCTCCTTTAGACATCCAATCCTACGTGGCACTGACATTTGATGAGGTGGATGCCACATGGCTTGTCACCCCAATGCCCCTAACCCATTTTACCCTTCCCTTCTATTTATTTTTTTCTACCACTAAAATTTTTTTCCCTCTGTCACTATTGTCACCATTATCGCTACCATGAAAAATATTGTATTTCAAATTTTAGTCTTTTATATAAGGATTAGGGGCACTGAGGTGGCATGCCATGTGGAATCCACCTCATCAAATATGAGTGCCACGTAGAATTGGATGTCCACCTTGAACAAACTTAACAGAAGAAGAATATATTTGAACCAATAGTATTACCACAGGAATATATTTGAACCCAAAATATAACAAAGAATATATTTAAATCTTGTCTCCTAGTACAAGGATATATTTTGCCATTTGCCGTTAACAAAAAGCATTCCGTATCAGAATTGCGTGATGTTAACATATAAACATGAAGTTGCAATGAACAATGTGAGGAAACATTGATCAATCAAATATAAGTTAATTAATTGAATAATGAAAGAAATGAGCAGAATAAAAATAGTAGTTTGCTCGTATCAATAATTTTATTAGTACCAATTAAAACTCAAAAATCTATTTACATTATTGAAAATAAAAGTGAATGAGGACTTTATAAAGATATACTTAATACAAAAAATAATAACTAAAAATAGATGTAGATTTTATAATAAATTTCTAAAAGATTATACAGCTATATACTTTAAATGAATTTTAAATTTTAATTCAGAAATATTACATTAATGGCAATAAAAATTCAACATCAATGTACATAACACAGGATAATAAAAAGTTAAATTTATACAATTTTAATGCACGTAATTTTAAGATACAGTCACAAAAGTAACGATAATTTTGTAATAAATTTGTAAAAAAGGACTATTCTATTAGTAATTTTAGTGAATTTAGTTATAAAATTATAATAGGATATAACATAATTTAAATTATAGGTAAAGATAATATATTTTAAATAATATTTATAAAATGATAACATAGAGGAGAGTTGAAATATGAAGGGTGAAATACATATTGCATATGATAGGAGGAGGTGGATGTATATTGTTCACAGTTGGAGGAGAAATTTAATTTGTAAGGTAAAGTTGAGGGATGCAAATAAATTATGCCCAAAAAAAAAAGTATTTAAAAGTTATTATTTGTTAAAAAATTATTTATTCTGTCCGAAAAAAAGGAGATTTTCAGAAAGGTGTTTCACGACCTAAACTCTTGAGAGTAGATTGCCCATGGAAAGGAACTTACTCCGATTTTCTATTTATTAGAAAAATATTCCAAAATAATTCTTCGAAAAAAGTTACATAACGTCCAAAGTGAAATTTAGGCGTGCATTATATATTATAGTATCCTAAGCCAACTAGAAATAGACGAAGTCCTATTATCTCAATAAAAAAATTCAAATTTAGCTTTAGATTACACGACGAAAGAATAATAATGAAAAAAGCGTCTTTTACAAGAAACTGTTATTCTAGTCCAATTCTCAGAGGTCAAACTTAGAACGCTTCAACATTAAGCACAATAAGAAATCTACAGACGTGCATTTCTTCAAATTAAATTTCTCACGCAACTATAACATTTGCTTATTACGTATGATTTCATGCAAGTCTAATTACTTATTTTTTGGTCTGTCTGGATAGACCTTCCTCATTTTAGTTGTCCACGTAAATCGTAATCCATATTTTTTTTTTAAAATAACATTATTTTTTTATTCGTCCATTTTAGAAATAACCAGTAAAAACAACAATAATAATAAATTCAGTATAATCTCACAAGTACGGCCAGAAACAATCAACATATTTTGAAATTTGAAAATAATTTAACTTAAATTTTTATTTTATCTTTTAAACACAAGTTTGTATAATTACACAAATATTATCATGTACTAGTATTTAAGCTCACAAATTCTCAAAGCCTTTGTTCTGTCTTAAATTTCGTATCCAATTAAATTACATATAAATCGGAAGTATACAGGAGTAAATACAAATATATTTGCACTTTGCAGGGCTTTTTACATCGGAACTTCATCGCTAGAAGAAGGTGCCACAATTAACGAATGTTGCAACTTTCGCGGTAGCTTTCTCAAGTTAGATGTCAAAACAGGCAAAATTCTATGGAAGACCTTCTTGCTGCCGGACAACGGCGGAAAACTCGGCGAATACGCCGGAGCCGCCGTATGGGGAAGCAGCCCTTCCATCGATATCCAGCGGAACCACGTCTACATTGCCACCGGAAACCTCTACTCCGTGCCTAAACACATCGAGGAATGCCAAAAGGAGCAGAATCAACAAAACCAGACGAATCCGACCCGACCCGACAAGTGCATTGAACCCGAGAACCACTCCGACTCGATTTTGGCCTTGGATTTGGATTCTGGGAAGATCAAATGGTACAAACAGCTTGGAGGATATGACGTGTGGTTCGTCGCATGCGGATTTAATTCGACGAACCCTAATTGCCCGATTGGCCCGAGCCCCGATGCTGATTTTGGGGAAGCTCCGATGATGCTAAGCGTGCTTGCTAATGGAACGAAGAAACGAGACATAGTAGCAGCTGTGCAGAAAAGTGGAATAGCATGGGCATTGGATCGTGATACTGGCGACATCTTCTGGACTACTGTAAGTGCTCCAATACTATTTAATCAAACATATATTGTTCAGTCAAATATTGTTACGTCAACAAGAGTTACTAGCGCTTCAAATTGATCATAAGGGACAACATCTCTTGATCACTCCTTGTTTTCTTCAATTAGAAGGTAAGACAAATTAGTTCTCGAACAAAACGAATTCCTTGTGATAGTGTGGAATTTCTAATTAACTTCCATCATCATCTCAATTTGATCTTGAAGAAGGACGTCTCGTGGATCTCTCCTTGCTTGTTAGAGAACCAGGGGGTTGACTATGTAGTTGATCCCTTCTTGTGATCGATTTCAACATTAGCATGGTTCGGCCGTGTCATTAGCATCAATGATGATCTTTTAATCTCTCACTAGGAGTGGCAAACGGGCAGGGCGGGGCGGGTATGGTTCGGGTCAAAAATAGGTAATGAAAAACGGATAAATTATCCGACCCATATTTAATAGCGATAAAAAACGGGTTAACCGGCGGATAATATGGGTAACCATACTATCCATGACTATGATCACTTTTGGGAGAATTCTTAATCTCCCTAACTTGAAGACCTCCAATTTGAGACTTTAACAAATGTAAAAGTTAGACCCATTGGTTATTCATTTTCTAAATGGATAATATGGTTCTTATCCATAATTGACCCGTTTTTAAAAGATTTATCCAACCCATTTTTTAGTGGATAATATAGACGGTTAACTGTTTTCTTTGAACCATTTTGCCACCACTGTCTCTCACCAACATCATATGATCTTCTCCTTTAAGAAATGTAAAAGGGAAGTGACAATAATTTTAAGAGTTTAACTTATACACATCGACAATGTAAGTGAACTTTTATATTATCAAATCATAAAAAAGATATCCTTCTAGAAGGGGGGATTTTTAATCTTGACAATAAAGCATGTTACTTGTTACAATAGGTAAAAATGACCTCTGTAAAAATTCTTTACATTGTCAGTTAAAATATTAGTTAAATCTAATTTTAATTGCGGCTGCAATTTATTTTGTTATGAAAACTGTTCATGGTGCGACCATAAACTAATGCTAGTTTGCTAATATACCTGAGAGTAACAAAATGTTTGTGATTATAATAGGACACCTCGTTAAAAAATACAAGCTAATGCAACACTGATGAAAATGAGATTGATGTATGTAGGAAGCTGGTCCTGGAGGTACGGCAGGAGGAGGTATATGGGGAGCAGCCACAGACACAAAGAGGGTATACACCAGCATAGTCAACAGTGATAACTTGAACTTCACATTAGTCCCATCCAAGAATGTGACCACAGGTGGAGCCTGGGTAGCAATGGATGCTAAAACCGGCAAAATTCTATGGACAACTGCGGTTCCAAACAATGGTAAATCAAACCCTGTAACAGTTGCCAATGGGATGTTGTTAGCAGGTTCACAAAATCCAACAGGTCCCATTTATGCCATTGACACGAAAACTGGGAAGATATTGTGGTCGAATGAGACTGGTGCAACTGTGTTTGGGGGTATGTCAGTGAGCAATGGCTGCTTTTATGTAGGCAATGGTTACAGGTCTGGTATAGGAGTATTTAATCCTAACAACACTGGTGGAACATCACTCTTTGCCTACTGTGTATATTGAAATGCCAAAGAATGTTTCACTATAATGTATGATGCATTTGTTGCAGGCATAAAATAAATAGATTAATAAATAAATGTTCTGTGTCTGAGTTTAAGAATATGAACTGGATTCATATTTAATTTTCCTTCACTTTCACTGTGGTTTAAATTGCGGCAAGTTAAGAGGAAGGTTTTTGACTTTCTCAAGTTATACACACACTCCTCAATGTAGACTAGCAGTATAATGGACATGACACATACTACCACTGACCCAAACTATAGGAAATGTGAACTCTACCCATTGCACAAAGTCCTTTCTCTTTCCTACTCACAACCAATTTATGAATCAAGAAAGGTAGGAGACTGAAAATGCCACACATCAAGCATATAATAATTGAGTACCTAAAGAAACTAACGGCAAAATGAAACATTAACTTTGGCTCTAACAATTGATATTCATTAGGCACCATTAAGGATCACATGACTGTCAATATGAGTAAAAAGTAATGCAATAATCAATATCTAAAAGCTTAAAATTTCAGTCTGCAGACATGCCAGAGGGCAAGACATTCAACAGAAAGCAAAGATACGAGTTCTTTCATATTCTCCCTTGCCTAATAACTCTATGAATAGCATAAATCCTTGTTCACAGGTCTTGAACGCTCAGACCTACAATTAAGAATGTAATCCGACAGTTAAATTCGTACACAACTTGGACTATACAAAATGTGCAATTACTGACAGGAGCTCGAGTGCTTTAATCAAGACACAAAGGTGAAACATGCAGTCTTAGGAACTTACAAATTAATACAAGACAGTCATAAAGACATTACACAGAACATTGACATAATCAGCAAAAAAAATTAGCAGTCAAAGAATGCAAACCTGGAGGAAGTGATTGCTTCAACTTGTCAGCCTTCTCAAAGTCGGACACACAGAGTGTGTAAAGGTACTTGGAGCAACGAACCTTGAACTTGACCATATCCTTGTTCTTCTTAATCTTGACAGTTCGTGCATCCTTCCTTCTGGCTGTGAGAAGGAAATCCTTGATCTCGTGGATTTGCTTCGGCTACAAATAGATATAAAGTAAACACTCACTGTGATAAATTGCATAAAAAGGAACAAAAACAGAGCACAAAGAAAACTTCAGCAGGTTTGAAAATACAGTATCAACAAATCGGAACTTCTGATGAAACATTTCCCAAACACATGATCAGATTTAAGCATTTAACTGAAAAAACAAGGTTAAGGGGAACAAGATATCACATCATTAGCATATTTACAACATAAGGAGTAAGGATGGAACAAAGAAACAAGAGAAGAGATTTTTCCCCCAAAATATGTTCTTAGGCATATATACATATGATATTAAGGATGAACTAGATAAGTGGGTAAGATAATACTAAAGAAATTATGTCAAGAAACTGGAATTTTGAGTATTGGACTGAAATTTGGACCTGTCTAGAGTGAAAGAGTTACAGAGGATTCATATAGCCAAGTCCAGCTATTATGGGATTAGGATGCAATTCATCGCGATCTAATTATACCATCTAACAAACTAGCACGCTCATCAAGGGCGAGAAGAAGGGCTATTTCACTGGATTTGACCTCTATACAAAATGTTAGAAACATAAACTACTAGCAATATCAGTACATCCATATCATGAACTTATTTGCCCGAGCTCGGACAACAAAGCGCTTGTCCTCTATACATTTTCTGGATAACAAACTTCACAAAATTCTTGACTTCAAAAGTCAAACTTACAATAAAATGGCCAAACTTGTACCAAACCGAAAAGAGGGTAGAGCAGGTAAGTCTAACATTTATTCCATAATATCCGACATTTTAGCACTTTCTTGCAAAAGCCTTACATCTTTATCAAAATCAACACCTACATCCCCACCCCCTCCCCTCCAAACCCCTAAACCTCAATCCAAGTTACGCAGGTCTAAACCGGGTCAGCCTACGCATGCCTCGACTATTCTATAGGGCCTAGTACCTCCCACCAGCATAGATACTGGGTAACTCAGCCACCCACGCTTAGGCAAATGGGAAGAAATCACCTCGTGTTTATTTGACTCCGTTGTGATTTGAACCTGAATTTTTTCCTTTTCTTTTCTGAAAATAAACTAAAAACTATTGTTTTCCAAAAGTAAAACTTCCATTAAATGGCCAAACATGCTCCAAAATTTGGAGCAAACCGACTGAAGGGAAAAGACGTAAGACCTAACATTTGTTCCATAAAACAAAAGTCAAGATTCATTACAGTTCAGAATCGTAAAACAAAGATGATATAATACAGAATAACTATCAGGTCAATATTCTAAAGCAAGGAAACATAATAGAAAATCTGATATGCAAAATGAGAAGAGAGGAGAAAATGTACCATCTTTTGGGTTTCAAGTGCTGCTGAGGAGGACACGACGGCGAGTAAAAGAGAGGGAGAAAAATATGGGAAGAGAACAAAGCTGTATAAATATGGTAAAACCCTAGTCTCGCTTATAGTTTTTAATTTTTATTTAACTTTTGTCACAGGGTCAATTGGGCGAATTTTCACAAAATGGCCCTTTTTGAGGCCATTATTTAGATTTTGTCCATTTTGACCAATGTTTACATTTTGTTCCTTTCGTTGGGCAACCAGTTAAGTGGCCGTTTAGACATAAACTTTGATGGAAGATTTTTTTAAAAAAAATTTATTTTTTTTTTTGAAATTAGCGTTTGTTCATAAAATTTTCAATTTCCACTCGAAGATGCATTTTGGAAATTTTCGAAAATTTAAAAAACTGCAAAAAGCTATTTTTCAAAATTTTCACTCAAATCACTCACAAAACTTCAAAACAACCCAAACTGAAATTTATGTCCAAATACTAAATTTCAAATATCATTTTCACTTGAAAACTTTTTTTACCATTTTTTCGAATTTTACAATTCTTATGTCCAAACGTCTACTAAATAGAAATTTGAGCGACAATTATAACTCATAAGTCACTATTATATTTTCTTTGGGAACTTTAGACCAAAATCTAGGCGGAATGGGCTAAATGGCACCTATACTTGTGCCACTTTGTCATGCCGATCCCCAAACTTAGCAATTTGCCAATTGAACACATATAATCATTCAAACCGTGTATAATAAACGCTTATGACAGGAGATTGTTAGTGCGTGTAAAACAATCTCCTATACGTAGGACGCCACGTCAAGAAAATTAAACCACGTAGGCTCCAGGTCACTTATTATGGACACATAGAAAAAATAAAATGGAAAATAATTATTAACCTCTCCACCCCCACCCCACCCCCCACCCCAAAACCAATTCTTCATCTGTTCTTCATCTTTCAAGCTTAACCCAGCACCTTTTATGGCTTCTCCCACAATGAGCAACCATACTGTCTCTTTTTTTTCTTCCTACAATTCCTATAAAACCCATTACGAAATGCACAAAATCAGATCATGATTTTTTCCAAGCATAAAACTCTTCTTGGGAGCTCGAACACAGATAAACTCACCCCCACCTCAGAATCCGATGACTGCTGCTTCACTCCCTATCTCTGTCGTTTCTCTTCTTCATCTTCCCTTCCCCCTGTTTTATTTTCTCTAACTGTTTGTTGGTTTTTTACAGGTCTGGACCCAGCCGAGTAAATTAGATATGGCCAGAAATATAACTTTTCCGGGACCTTCGTTCCACCACAACACTGGCCGGCGACTTCCCCTCTTTCTTTTATGTTATTAGACCCCAAATATACTTAGGCGAACTACCAGATCTTGGCAAAAAAATTTGGCCGGAATTTGATTTCGCTTGAATACTTGCTCTTCCTTCTAATTCTGATGTTTCTGTATTACTTTGACAATAATTCACATATTTGTTCTTTGTGCAGATCTGGGGAATGAGAAAATTTTCACTTTGGTTTGTATGGAGATAAGTTGATTGATTATCTCCCAAGAGAATCACTAATGGGTGACGTAATGAGCCTTTGAGGCCTTTTGTTTCTTTTCATTTTGATTTAGTATTTTTTTTAATCAAACCCAGTGTATTCACCCGCTTTTAAAAGCTTGTGACCACGCACTTCATCTGACTCAACAAAATAAACGCCACATACCCTTGGTTAGTCAGAGTGGTTTAAAATATAAGTTTTGATCAAGTAGAAATGTCTAGATGAAAACAAATGAAGTAGAGGGACCGGCATGACAAAGTGGCACAAGTATAGGTACCATTTAGGCCATTCTGCCCAAAATCTAACACTCTGTTTGGATCATTGTTCCCCGCCGTTTTATAATGTATTGTATCGTATTGTATCGTATCATTTATAAATAATATTTGGATAGATTGTATTGTTTGTTGTGGTTAAATAATATTTTGTTGTTTGGTTTGACTGTATCGTATTGTACTGTACTGTAACTGATAAGTTGACTAAAATACCCTTAATTGTTTAAATATTAAATTTATCAAAAATTATGCATAAAAATAACTTAAAAAAAAACAAAACAGAAGAAGGCAAAACATCTTAAGAAAGCAGAACAAAGGAGCGAGACAGAAGAATGCAAAACAAAGGAGCACACCTAATTAGAATTGAGTAAAAAGCAAATTAGTAGAAAATTAAAATAAAAGGCGGTAAAACACCCTTAACGTTGGCGGCGGAAGTTCTGGAAAAAAATAAAGTAGATTATAGGTTGGAGTTTGGAGTTAAAATAGAAAAAAAGGTAAAGGGTAAAATAGAATTGTAGAGTAATAAGTTAGGGCATAATTGAAAAGAAAAATAGGAAACAATCCCACCACACCAAATCGGTTGTTTCAAAAAGGGAGATTTTCATTATTCTGGAACAATGGATTGAACAATACAATACAACCAATTTTAATGAAACAATCAAAATAAATATTGAACAATATAATACGATACAACGGGGAACAACCATCCAAACAAGTTGTAAGCTAGCTTGTATTTCAATTAGTATAAGTATTTGTTAGCTTCCTACGAAACAACTATCATAATATATTCTAATATTTGCTAATAACTTTGAGTTACATGAAACATTGTCATAAAACTACATGTTCATTGTTTTGTATGTTGGAATTGAACAGAAAATGAAAATTACCTAGCACATTCAAATTGTGGACCATCAGTTTACAACTTCTACTATAATACTACTGATGCCTTAGTATTTTTCTTTCGAAAGTTCAGATGAAAGTCAAAGGTAGTTTGTATCTCTTGGGTGAATTACAACTTTAGACCGTGATCTACAGTTTGATCACAAAAAATTCAAATTTCTTCTACAACTTTAAACCGTGGTCTACAATTTGATCACAAATTTTTCAGTTTCTTCTACAACTTCAACTAGGCTATTGGAAATGTATTACAATTAGAGTTAGTTAGTTACAAGTGGAGTTAAACTACTGTGCAAAGACACATGACTAGAAGGTGTCCAATTAAGAAGCACTAGCTACTCTGTATAAAAGGAAGGTCTTCTTCCCTCTCTGAATAACAGAAATATTACACAAAATTCTCTCTAGAATATTCTACTGTTCCATTGCCTTCAATGGCTTCTTCTCAACTGATCTCTTGCTAATTTGACATGGTATCAGAGCAGCATTCGTGAGGACCGGAGCTCCAACGTAAATATCTGAGTAGTTCTCGTCGGAAAAATTTGATTTAGAAAATCGGAGAAATCGACGAGTGCAGAATCTCAATTGACTCAATTCGTGAAATACAATGGCAGGAAATGAGGTAACGATGCTGGATCACAACCATCCATTATTCCTCCAAGCCGGAGATGCACCAGCTCTGATTCTAATTCCAATTAAACTCACCGGACCTGAGAATTATGCCCTATGGAGTAGAGCTATGAACTTAGCCCTACGAGGTAAAGGAAAACTAGGGTTTATGGACGGAAATTGTGTGAAGATTAGGTATAGAGGAGAGTTAGTTGAACAGTGGAAAAAATGTAACGCTATTGTGCTTTCGTGGATAGAAAGTACAGTATCGAGTGAATTTATGCCTAGTATAGTATTTGCTTCGGATGCGAAGAAAGTATGGAATGATTTCCAGGAGAGGTTCGATAGATCGGATCTAACGAAAATCTACTATTTGTGGACGGAGATTGCAACAATGAGGAAGGGTACAGACTCAGTCACCACTTACTTCTCGAATATGAAAGATTTTTGGGATGAGTTGGACATATTAGCCCCACTGTCCAGCTGTGACTGTGAGGAGGTAAGACCTTCCATTGAACACTTAAAATCTCAACGGTTGCTGCAATTTTGGATGGGACTGAATGAGAGTTATAGCAACATTAGGAGCAATGTACTGGCAAAGAGACCTGTTGTTATAATGGATGAGGCGAATGCTATTGTTACACAGAAGGAAAGCCAAAGAACTTTGGGTGTAGTTGACATGAACAAGGAGCCCTTGAATCTACTAGCAGGAAAGGCACAAATGGTTAGACCTAAAACTCCAAGACTGGTGTGTGAACATTGCGGATATGAAGGGCATCTAAAGGAAAATTGCTACAAAATTGTTGGTTATCCAGCAGATTTCAAAAGCAAGAAAAAGTTGGGGCAACAAAGTGGTGTGTGGCAAAATAACAAGAACTTCAAACAGGGACTGTTTAGAGGAGCAAGTCAGAACAACAATGGGTTCAGATCCTATGCCAACAACACAACAGGGGAAAGGCAAGTTCAAGGACACTTCTTTGCAGAAGAAGAATATTCACAACTGATGGGATTGCTGAATAAATCCTCACAAGATGGATGCAGTAGCAACATGGCATGTACTGTTTCATTACTATCTAATACATATACTTGTGAATGGATAGTAGATTCAGATGTCTCACACCATATTACACTTTGCATAGAGATGTTACAAGAACTTAGACACATAGATAAGCTACATAACAGTAAAGTACAAGTGCCTACTAGAGAGGGATCACACATAGCTAATACAGGGAGCACAGAGATACTAAGGAAGTACAGGATCACCAATGTGTTACATGTGCCATATTTTATATTTAATTTGTTGTTAGTGTCGAATTAACTAGGAAACTTTCATGTTCAGTCGCATTCTTTCCTAACTTTTGTGTGTTTTAGGCACTCCACAGTGGGAAAGTAATGGGGATTGGTAGAGAGAACAATAGACTCTACTTTCTAAGGAGAGGAATAAAATCACCACTGGGAGTAGCAGTAATTAAGAATGAAGATATGGCAACTTTGTGGCACTTGAGATTGGGACACCCTTCAGTAGGAGCAATGAAGCACATCCCTTTGCTGAAGAACAAAGTGACTGACAAGATACAAGAAGAGTGTATGGTATGTCTTATGGCAAAGAAAAGCAGATTAAAATTTCCTACTAGTGAGCATAAATATAGTTGTGCATTCCAGTTAGTCCATGTAGATGTCTTGGGACCCTATAAGAGGGCCATTTATGACAGGAAATAATATTTTGCTACTGTTGTAGATGACTACAGTAGATTTACCTGGTTATGCTTGATACAATCAAAATCTAAAGTTGTAGTTGTGTTGAAAAATTTCTTGGCTATGATAAAAACTCAGTTTGCAGCTGATGTGAAAATGGTTAAATCAGATAATGGGACAGAATTCTTCAATTCATAGTATAACGAGTTGTTTACTTCACATGGAATAATCCATCAAAGTAGCTGCCTATACACACCACAGCAAAATGGTGTGGTTGAAAGGAAACACATGCATATATTAGAAGTGGCCAGATCCCTGAAGATACAGAGCTCAGTTCCAGCTACTTTTTGGGGAGAGTGTGTCAAGACTGCAGTGTACCTCATCAATACTTACTGTAGTTCTGGATGGGAAGACACCTTATGAGCTTCTATATGGGGAAGCACCTAAACTGGACCATCGGGTGTTTGTTTGTTTAAGCTATGCTAGTAATTTTCCCAGAAGTGACAAATTAGCTGCAAGGGCAATGTTGCTAAGGTATTCTGATACTCAGTAGGGGTACAAATTTTTTGACCTTGACACAAGGACATTTTTCATAAGTAGAGATGTCAGCTTTAGGGAAACCATTTTCCCTTTCAAAACTGGGAAAGCATATGATGATGATCTGTTGTTTATTCCCATTACAGATGCCACAGGGAAAGTCTTGCAACCTGAATTGCCAGAAGCCACAAATCTCCCAACAGAAGTACATAGTTCTAACCATGGGGATGCACAACCTGAACCTGCAGCTCCCACAAATTCTCCAGAAGTTGCTGAAACTAGTGATGACACACTGGAGGTTCAAGCTGAAGCCGAAGAGGAAACTGCACCAATTCAGGAACCAAGTACGGTAGATCAACCAACAGACAGTGGTAGATGAAGAGAGTGAGCAGACCTCCAATTTGGCTCAAGGATTATGTAACTACAAGTAGACCCTCTAGACAATGTTCATAGCTAGTATCTCACTATATGGACTACAACAGATTGTCACCAGATTATCAGCACTATTTAGGATTATTCTCAGCCAATGGAATCAAAGAATTTCACTAAGGTATCGCAAGACCACAACTGGATAACAACAATGAAAGAAAAGATAGCAATTTTAGAACATAACCATACCTGGGAGTTGGTAAATCTGCCAAAAGGAAAACAGGACATTGGATCCAAATGGGTATACAAGATAAAGCATAAGCCAAAATGGGGACATAGACAAATACAAAACAAGACTCGTACCCAAGGGATACAACCAAAAAGAGGGCCTAAATTACCATGAAACATTCTCGCCAGTGGCTAAAATGGTCACTGTAAGGACTGTCATCATTGTAGCAGCCTGTAAAAACTATGGATTGCACCATATGGATGTCAATAATGCATTCTTGCAAGGCGATTTATTTGAAGAAGTTCACATGGAAGTTCCTCATGGTTTTCAACGACATGGGAGTATAAAGTGTGTAAATTGATCAAATACTTATATGGCTTAGAACAAGCTTCGAGACAATGGAACATAAAACTTACTGATGCACTCTTAGCAGCTGGTTATAAATAAAGTTCCTATGATCATTCCTTATTCACCAAACAAGCAGGAGGACAAATAGTTATCATCTTGGTGTATGTGGATGACCTTTTAATCACTGGAATTTGCAAGGACTTGATACATGAAGCAAAAACCATTCTGTATAACAATTTCAAGGTAAAAGATCTAGGAGAATTGAGGTATTTTCTAGGAATTGAAGTAATGAGATCCAAAGATGGCATACTACTCAATCAAAGGAAGTATGCACTTGGGCTAATATCTGATCTATGACTCAGTGGTGCTAGGCCTGTAACCAGACCATTGGAAGTAAATTTGAAGCTCATAACAATAGACTATGATGAATGTGTTGGGGGTGTCAATGACCCTGCACTTGAGGACATAACAGCCTATCAAAAGCCGATTGGGAGATTATTATACCTCATCATCACCAGGCCTGATGTCAGTTTTAGGGTGCAAGTACAAAGTCAGTTTACGCAAAGGCCAAAGACTTCACATTGGAATGCAACATTGATGTTGGTGAAGTACTTAAAGAATACACCAGGACAAAGACTGTTGCTGAAGAGGATCCTCAAGCCCAGTTGACAGTGTTTTGTGATTCAGACTGGGCAGCATGCCCAAACACTAGAAGGTCAGTGACAGGATAATACGTGGTAAAGTTGGGAGAATCCTTGATTTCTTGGAAATCAAAGAAGCAACAGACATTAAGTAAAAGCTCTGCAGAAGCTGAATACAGAAGCATGGGAGCAGCAATCTCAGACATAATTTGACTAGAAGGATTACTGGCAGAGTTAGGTATGCTAGTTTCTAGACATGTGCAGCTTTTTTGTGACAACAAAGCAGCAATTCAGATTGCCTCTAACCCAATCTACCATGAAATAACCAAGCGTATTGAGATAGATTGCCACTTCATTAGAGAGAAAATTAAAGAAGGGCTGATACAAGCTCAACATGTGAGCACTAAAGATCAGCTGGCAGACATACTGACGAAAGGCTTAGGAACCATGCAACATCAATACTTATTGTCCAAGCTTGGAGTATTCAATGTACTTCACCCTCCAGCTTGAGGGGCAGTATTGGAAATGTAATACAATTAGAGTTACTTAGTCAGTTACAAGTGGAGTTAAAATACAGTGCATGGACACGTGACTAGAAGGTGTCCAGCTAAGAAGCACTAACTACTCTGTATAAAAGGAAGGTGTTCTTCCCTCTTTGAATAACAGAAACATTACACAAAATTCTCTCTAGAGTATTCTACTGTTCCATTTCCTTCAATGGCTTCTTCTCCTAGCTGATCTCCTGCTAATTTGACATAGGCATATTTTAATAGCTCAAAAGGTTTAAAAAATTCCAATGGGAAATGGTGCCAAGTCTGTTTGTTAAATCAGACATAAAAACTTGATGTTAGAACTTTGAACTACTTGATGAAGGTGGTCATAATCCATTTACAGAAAAAGGCTCGTCCAAATCCCGTTTACGCTCTAAAATATGTTTAAGTATCCGTTTGTAACTTATATAATATGTTGCTAATTTTGGATTAAGAATTTAATGTCTTAGAATACTATGTATGTATGTATATTATTATATCGAAATGATTAAACTAATTATTTGTTCCAATTAGCAACACCATATGTCACTAGTTCTTACTCAACAATAATGACAATAGCTATGGCTCAATTCTAAGCAAGTTGATTTAGTTTCTCTAATATTAAAAGTTTCTACTATTTTCTACGGATATAAAACTCTAACCATACTAAAAGACTTCTAGCAAATATTGGAACCTAAAGTAAATGTACTAACACAATAACAAAAAAAAACAACAACATGCCTAGTATATTCTCACAAGTAGAGTCTAGGGAGGGTAGTGTGTACCCAGACCTTACCCCTATCTAGTGAAGGTAGAGAGGTTGTTTCCAATTAGGGATGTCAAATTTGTCCCAAGCCCAAAATGACCCACCCAACCCGCCGAAGGTTGGGCTGGTTATTGACCCGCCCATTTATTGAACTCAACCCATCTTCACCCAACCCAACTCAACCCTTTTAAAATTGGGGTAATTTTTAGCCCAAATTGATCCATGAGTAACTTTGCCAAAATACCTTAGAAATAAATTTATTTTTTTGGTTGATATGTTATATATGACCATAACAAAAGGAAAAAAAAGTCTTATTTAGTAATTATACAATTCATAAGAAAACAACATATATTAACTAAAGATTGATAAGAGTTGCGTGGGTTGGGCTATGACCCAAATTTTCACCCATCTTGACCCAACCCATCTTAGCAAGTAACTTTTCGGCAATCAAATTATGGAATTTTTACATTCCTATGCCACATAGGAAACCTTATTACCCTCAATGTTTAAGGTTTGATTTAATTACACTTAGTATACCAAATTACCAATCCTATACCATACTTAATTAAGGGTCTAATTAATGGGCAGTTTTTACTCCTTAATTAAAGGTGTCCATATAT